AGGTCGCTGGCTCGAAGGGCGCGCCAGGGATCCGACCAAAGGAGTCACAACAACATATCCAGTGCAAAGAGTCTTGCGCGGCGCAGGCGCGGACGTGCGTGGACTTTCGTTTGGCCCCCGTGCTCTGCTCGGCACCGATCGCTTCCTAGCTTGGGCCGTCTTCGACGAGAGTTTGGACGTGATCTCGTCGATCAGGCTGCACTCGATTGGGTCGGTCACGCAAAACTGCGTCCTGTTCGTCGGAATACACTGCGGCGGTCTTCAATGCATTGTTACAGCTGTATGGGTATGATGCCGGACAGCGCGGGGCTCAAGCAGCCCGAGATCCTTCCCCTGCGATTCCTTCGTGCTGCAGCGGCGGTGGCCTCGTGCTGCTCGCAGTGTCGATGCGGCACTCGGCCGACAGCCGATCTGCCCTCCGTTCCTGTCTGGGCGCTGGTCCCGCCACACCGCCCTGCTTCCCCTGCTCGACCTGGTCGCCGTCTGCGGAGGTCGTCTCTCCAACTGATAATGCCCAGTGTTGCGAACAGCAGCTGATGTCCCGGCCTCGAAGGAAGCACCCTAGGATCACCCCGAGGCATCCCCGTTACATCCCCCCACGCATCAATTGACATCCCCGCCACATCCCCGTTACATCCCCGACGCCAGGGCGGACCGCAGGGGATGCGCAGGGGATGTATCGAAATCGTTGCCGTTCGCACTGTAAAACACAAGTTTGTCATGGACGTCGCTTTGATTAGTAAAGTGGGTTTGAACAGTTAAAGCGGCTTTTAGCAGTAAAGTGGTTTTGAGCAGTAAAGTGGTTTTGAGCAGTAAAGTGGTGACGGAGGAAGAAAAGAGGTGGAATCGAGGAGACGAGGGGGAGAACACGGTCGAGGAGATCCCTATTCCTCCTCCATCGCCTCGCGCTGCTCCTGGTTATCTGCATCATCTCCCTCCGCGTCGTAATTTCTCTCCCCTCCCTCCTCCTCCGTCTCCTGCCTCATAATTCCCTCCTGAGTTTCCTCATCCTCATCCTCCGAAGGCCTTTTGTTCCCCACATTTCAACCCTACAACTCCCGCGTCGCGGGCATTGCCCAAGGCCTTGTCGCAACGTCCCCGAACATATTTTTGCTTATCCAGCAACAAAAAAACAGAGCGCTGGCGCCCCGCGCAGCGCGCCCCGCTTGGAAGGGGCGGGGGGAAGTGGGAGGGAGAAAGAGGAGTCAGAGGATGAGGAGGACATAAGAAGAGGACGAGGAGCAGGAGGAGGACGAGACGGACTAGGCTGGCCGCGGCTACGCGAACAGGCGCGCAGACTCGCTCGGCTCGAACTCTGGTCATCGTCCTCCTCGTCGCCTCCTCCTCCTCCTCCTCGTTTTCCTCCTCCTCCTCCTCGTCACATCCTCCCCCCCTCCTCCTCCTGTTCCTCCACCTCCTCCTCCTCGCCGTCATCATTCGAGCGAGCGGGGCATTGAGTTGACGGCGGATCTAAAAGATGGCCGCCGTCCACTCCTTGATCTTGTCAAGGGACGGTTTCAGAACTTTCGGGAGCGACGGAAGGCCGCGCGTGACCGAGCCGGCCACGTCGGCGCGCACGTCGCTGTCGCCCCCTTTGAGCTGTTTGTCCAGAGCAAACGTCTGGATGCAAGACATGGTGGTCGGTCCACCCTTGTCCTTGCCATTGCTGCTGCCCTTGCTGGCCATCTCATAGCCAGGCTCGAATACGCTGCTATCCTGCGAGGTTCGCCCCCTCCTCGTCCTGAGCGCTGCGAGTCGGCGGGATGCACTTGCCCCCGCCGACTCGCAACGCTAAGGATGAGGAGTTGTTCCGCCCCTGAGGCCCCATGCCCCCTCATGAAACCTCGCGGCCAGCCTCCTGAAGCTCCGAGGCCCCTTCCGAAGCCCCATGGCCGAGCCTCCAGAAGACGGGAAGCGCACGCATCGGCCCCACCCTCGACCCCCAGAAGCCCTGGTTGCGAGAGCACGGCCCGACAGATCCTCGGGCTCGATCCCGACCACCAGCGGGGCATTGCAGAACGGCACCCACACCGACTGGCCCTTCTTCAGCAGAGAGGACGGTGCCTTCAGCAAGCTCTTGGCGCTGGTATTCTCGAGGTACTTCACGATGTTCTGGCCGACGGCCTCGCTGGACACGATGACGACCATGATGAGGCCCTCCGTCACCGCGGCGAAGTGCGGGGCCCCGCGCAGGGGGAAGGCCTGCGACGAAACGTCGGCCACCACTGTCCGCTGCATCGCCAAGACTGAAGGCAGAACAGGGTCAACCGTGAACACCTGTTTGTCTTTCGGGTTGAAGTTGAACTTCTCGTAGTGATCAACCTTGGCCAGGACGATGCTCACGTGGGCCCCCTTGCATTCGGCGAACTGGGGCAAGATATTGTCCTTCTTCTCCTTGATGGGCATATCATTCTTCTCGGCGTGCGACCGCAGCTCGCTGCGCCACTGCGAGGGGCCGTCGGATGCAACCTTCAACCAGAAAGACTTCGGTTTCGAGAAGGTGTCCATGTCGATCTTGCCGTCGCCGTCGGCAATGCACTCGAACTCGAAGGGCTGGCACGGGGTGCCGGCGCCAGGCTCGCCGAACAACGCATGGGGCTTGCCGTCGTCGCCCGCGGCCTTCTCCGTGTATATCATATCTGGGGCCAAAGCGGCGCATCGAAAGGTCCCGTGGTTTTCGTGAACCTTCGCCATATTGTCCTTTTCCCCTTCTTCCTCCTCTTTGCTTTCTGGTCGCGCTTGGCCTGCTCGGCCAAGACCCCCTGGAGTGCAGTGTAGTAGTCCTTCATCTCGGAGTAAATTTGCTCGAAGCACGCGATCGCTTGCTCAGCAGCCGACGTCTTGCTGGGGATGTCGCAAGGCAACTCCCGCACCATCGCGTCGCCGAGCGCGGCCGTCATCTGCTGCGTGACGCCCTCCGCCTTCAGGGCCTCAGGTATACCGAGGCGCTGCACCTCCGAGTCGTCGCCCAGCTAGCCGAAGAGGGACGTCATGACCTCGATGGCGCCCCTCGTCGTTCGCTCCCAACTGGGATCAGAGTGGCAGGAAGTGCAGAGCCCCGAAGCCCCTGGGCGCTCGGACACGTCAACCCACCGCGCATCTAACTCCACGCGCCCCCAAGCACGGGAGCAACACCCAGGGGCTGAAAGACCTGGAGCCCTGGAGTGAAGCCACGAACCCCCTGATGCCCCAGCGGGGCTGGGGCGCCGCCGCGCCGCTGGCGGGGCCCCTGACAGGGCGCGACGCGATCCCGATGACTTCCGAGCTCTGTAATCCCCATGCCCCCCCTGGTCCACCGTGAACTTCTCGAGGTGGCCTTCCAGCACGGCGGCGAGGAGGCGCTTGTACCCGATGAAGACCGCCGGCTTGCAGGCGTCCTTGACGTCGGCGCCGCTGAGCTGCAGGCGCGGGTCGCGCTCGTCGAACTCCTTCAATTGCTGAACGAAGGTGGCGTCGTCTCCCTCCCGAGCGCGTCCGTCATCGATGGTAGCCGTCTTGCCGCGGATCCGACGCCGCTCACTCGGGGCCGCGCTTGCAGCGCTGCCCCGACCCCTCTTCCCGAGACTCCCTTCTGAACGGCTGGAGACCGCGGACTTCGTCGGCGGCGTCTTGAGCAGCGCTGGCAGCGCCGGCGGCGCCTGCGCCTTGTGAGACGCGCGATTGCGGACACCTGCGCGCTGATCACCACGATGGGCACCGTCACCGCGGGCGCGCTGGACCCGCGCAGGTGCCCTCGCTTCCTCCGAGTCGTCCTGCGGCTCGGACCCGTCGCCGCCGGTCTCCTCTTCTGACTCCTCCTCCGCCTCGGCCTCCTCTTCGCCCTCCTCCTCTGACTCCTCGGGCTCGTCGTCGGAGCCCGCAGAGTCGCCGAGCTCGTCGCTGTCGACGCCGCCGCCCTCGTCGTCGAAGCCCGCCACCCCGCGACGCCCTGCCGTGGTCGCGTCGTGCATGAGCTTCTGCAGCCCGCCAGGGGTGCAATTCTTCACCATGGCACTGCCCGCGCTGCCCCCGACGGGCACGCCCTGCGCCATCTCCATCTCTGCCTACTTCGGCACGGCCGCGATGATCTGGCCGCCCTTCTTGCGCTCGAACACGCTCTTGTCTGCGAGGTCTTTCGCCCACGTCTTGAGGGCGCTCTTCCCGGTGTGGCCGTTCGCGTAGCGCCGGTGGGCGATGTACTGCAGCTTGTTGCAAAACATGCCCCCTTCCTTCCTGAGCGTGCTGTCGCTGCGAATCACGTTCGCAATGGCAGACTTGAACTTGGCCATCTTCACCGCCGAACGGCGACCTGAAGCGACCATGGATAGCACCGTCGCCTTGTACTTCGCGGGGTTATTCGCCTTCAGTTTGCCCATGTTGTTGCAAACCTGGGAGGGGGGCGCATAAACCACGAAACAAACGTTGCCTCATGGGTGCTGGTCGCGCGTGGCGGCCGCTGGCCATCCGCATTTCATTTGTTCGAATGAGACGAAATGCGGATAGCCAGCGCCCGCCGCGCGCGACCAAAAAGTCAGCGCAAACCTCTTGCGCCCCCCCCCCCCCCCAGGCCGGGAATCCCACTGAGTGGGTTTGTCACTGTAGCAAATCAGCGATCCCACTGAATGGGGTTGTTATTATGCAAGTCTCTCCAGGGGGTGGGGCCCTACTGTCAGTAGGGCCCCACCCCCTGGGGCCCTTGTCACCCCTCGCGCCCGGCGCAGGAGGGCCCCTGGGACCTCGGAGCTCCGCGCGGCGACGCCCTGGGCCGACTTCGCGGCGAGGCCGCGCTTGCGGTGCATCCTGCAGGCCCTGCGCCTCCGCTCGTCGGCCTTGACCGGCTTGTCGCAGATGGTGCAGATGATGACATCCTTCTCCTCATAATCATTGTCGCTGTCCTGCTGGTCGATGGGCGCGGCGTCGTCGTCGTCGCCGCCCGGCACGTGGATGAAGGCGCCCTTCTTCCAGCGCGGCCTCCTCGCATCAGCTGCAGCGGGCCTCTTCCTCGCAGGAGGGCTCCGCATCGTCTGAGGGCGACGCGGCCCTGGGCGCCCGCCGACGCTCGAGGGGACTCGGTCTCGGCCCGCGCCCCGCCCTGAGAGGGCGCTGAGTTGACATTCTCCGGGGAGGCAACCTCGCAGGCCCCCCCAGAGTTTGAGCCGAAACGGCTAGGGATGAAAAGGGATGAGGCCCGACGCCAGGACGAGGAGGGGGCAGGGTCAGCAGCAGGGGCCCAGGAGTCGAGGGGGGGGGGGGGGGGGGGTCGATGGAGAATGCCCTCGTCGCCCAGGGTCATGGACACCCCACCTCTGGAAGGCCAGCTCGACATCAGCACGGCGCGGAGGAGGAGGGGCGGGTTGGAGGATGACGGGGGCGAGAAGAGGCGCGTGCACACCCCTGGTGGAGAAGATAAAGCCGCCTGCGCCGACGACAAAGCCCTAGCGCGAGTGACGCGCGCCCCCGAGAGACCGACGGGCGCACCTGTATCCAGCAGTCAAGGAATATCCCCTGTTGGTCCCCTGTTCATCCCCTGTGCGTCCCCTGTGTATCCCCTATCATCCCCTGCCCATCCCCTGTGCATCCCCTGACATCCCCTGCGCATCTCCCGTGTATCCCCTGTCGTCGCCTGTGCGTCCCCTGCGCGCCCCCTGTGCATCCCCTGCGCGCCCCCTGTCATCCCCTGTCGGTTTCGGCGCATCCCCTGCTCATTCCCTGTAATCCTATGTGCATCCCCTGTCATCCCCTGCGCATCCCCTGCGCATCCCCCGCGCATCCCCTCTGCGTCCCCTGTGCGCCCCCCCGACTAGACCGGAAATGCAATGTGTTGAGCCTTTGCGTCCGAAAGCTATACATTTATACTCGCTATAACCTTAATCGCAGGTAACCATGCGCACAACGGCGGCCACGCACCGCGACATCATTCAACCAAACAACTCAAACATGTTTCTTCCTTTTTCCATCCGGCGAGGTGGGCGATTTGGCTCGGCTGCTGCTGGCGTCAGCGTAGTCTGACATCGTGAACTCGAGTTCCTGTTCGATACCAGCGCAGCGTGAATGGCTGATGTCCTAGTCGAACGAACGCAGGATCGCTTCAAACTCTACTTCATGTCTCCAGACAAGAAGCGACGCTCTCGTGGCTGGGAAGCCCGCGCTTTACATGGGCTTTGGCAGTCTCCTCCTCGAGAACAGCATCCCTCCAAACATGCAGAAACGCGATCGGCTCGACGGGCCCGCGCCTGGCCGTGGACCGAGCGCTAACGACCCGTTTCTTTTCGAAATTGGGGTGGCGAGGACATTTGAACATGCGTGTAGAATGCACGTGGCCATCTGGCGCCACGTAGTCTTTGTCTACAAAAGTCTCACCACCACCTACAGCAGGTTTCCAGTTCCGTTTGCGCTTGGCCATGCCTGCAGGATGGGGGGGGGGGGGGGGGGGCGCCACCTGGTACTGGCGCCGCAGATGCAGCGGCACCGAAACCTGCGATGACTACATCATCGCCAACATCGGTTGGGCCATGCGGCGGGGGCGGAGGGGCAGGAGGCGCGGCGAGGAGGGCGTGGGGCGGAAGTGGAAGAGGGGGCTCTGCAGGCGCCGCCATCACGGGCACTGGCGTCGCCTTAGGCGCTGGCCCAGCGGCGACGCCCGCAATCACGAAATCACCATCTTCGAGCTGCGCTGGGCGCGGCTCGGCAATCGCGGGAATGCCAGTGGATTTGCCTCCCCCCACGTCCAAGATAGCCTTTGTACTCTGCGCGTGAACGACCTGGCTGGGCGGGTGCGCCGAGCAAGGGCAATTTGCAGAACAACGCAGGCTCGGAGGACGGCAACGCGCCTCCCGCCAGGGCGATCTTGGCAGGCAGGTCGGCCAGGGGAGCCTGGATTTATGCTTTCTTGCGCCTCGCAGCCCTACTGTCAAACACTTTGGGCGCAGCTGGATCGAGAACATGAGCGACGCGCGCCTGTCGTCGCCCCCAACCCTGGGATCTCAACAACGAGCGCAACCAGAGCACAGGGGCGCGTTCATCAGTTATCGCCATTCGTGGTAGAACCCTCTTTGGACTGAACAGCTCCACGCACCCCTCTGTCTCGCTCGGGGAGCATCGTGGCGAAGCGCATCCGGCCGAGCCTGGTAACTGCGGGCAAGCTGGTCGGAGGAGGCCCACGTAGGACCCACGTCGGGGTACACGACGGACGCGCCAATCGCGAAGTCATGCCTCCACACCTCGAGATGCTGAACTAAAAATGCGCGAGGCGCTCGAAGTGCATGGCGCGCGTCGGTCGCAGTGCCGGGAACAGCGCGGGGGCGAGACGACCCGCGAGCAATCTGCGACTCTTGGAAGAACGCGGTCGGCTCCTCGACTACAGGCTCTTGCAAACCGTCATCCTGAATGGCGGGGCGCTGGGTGGCATTCTGGCAACTGTAGTAGCCCCGCTCCTCCAGGATGGCAACCGAAGAATCGTCCTGCAAAGCCTCCCTCTCCGAAATTGGCGGTGCCGGCGGCTGCAAGAACGGGCTCTCGCGTCTCGCAGGCGCGACGACGCCCCGGTCTTCGGCAGCCCTGTCATCTGGGAGATAGACCCGTTGAAAGAAAGGCAGCGTCTTCATGCGCGCGGGCCTGCGCGCGCGGGGGCCTTCGTGGTCCGCAGGATGCGCATGTCATTGGCCCACCCGTACTCTATCGAATTAATGCCTGCGTTGCCATGGTCCATGACAATCCCCTCCACTCGGTCGAGATTCTGACGTAAACGCAACGACTGCGTGACGTGTGAGAGCGGTGCAGCCGATGCCCTGGCACTCTCCCGATGGGTGCCCCTGTGGAAGCCCTCGCCTGCGGACTCGTCCACGCTGGCGGTGCAGATCCCTCTGACATGCCGCTGCAAGTCTGGCGAGCACTGCCCGCCGCCAGCAACTACTTCCAGGTCGCGCCGCAACGCCCCCCCGATGTGTCGGGCCATGGCATCGACGTGCTCATGGGCATCGAGTAGTCGCAAGCACGCGCGAGCACCATCCTGCCAGTCGGCTTTCGCGAACGCCCATGGCAGTGCCCCCAGGAATTTGAATTTGATATCGATAATCATGGCAGCAGATCGGATCATTGTCTCCACGTTCAGCTTCAAATCCTGCTCGCCGCCGCACGCGCCCAGATCGACGCCTCGCTTGGCCGAGCCCCAAAAGAACGATCGCTGCTGCGCAACGCGCTGGCGAGCCTCCTTCCGCCGACAGCCTTGCCGAGGGCAGCGTGGATGGCGAGCCCCTGCTTCGCGTCTCTCCTCGCAGCAACTGCACTTCATCCCCCGCCGTCGCATTTTTCCAAGGGCTGCATCACGTAGACGTAAACGACATCGATACGCGTACCACGCGAAGCGCTCGCAGCTGACGGAGGACCTCGCGCAGTGTTTCGAACCGTCACTTGGCCAGCTGCGCAGTGAACTCCTTGAGTGACGTTCCAAGGGGTAACCCTGCGTGAGATAGCGCACGCTGTATATGAGGCCGGTGCTCCTTATACTTCAAAATCGTGCGACGCGCTCGCAGAGACATTAGCAATTGTGGCCATCGAGGGTCCATCTAACAATGCTGCTTCATCATGCTTCCCATGGCATGGTTCCATCCTGGCACGCGCAAGGCAAACTTGAACAGGGATGTCTGTGAATCGACCAACGTGTGGAGCGCATCAAGTCCTCGACCTCGCATCCAGGCCCGGAATGCTGGCAGGAGGTGGGCAGCTCTAGCAACTGCAGCTCGGTGCCCATGTCAGTTGCGATGCTCGCGACGCCGTTCAAACAATACTGGAAATACTGATCTGTAGCACCAGCTACCAACCACGCGCTCCACAACACGGCAATCGCTTCGTGCACTCCAGAAAGTTGCCCACACACCAATGATGCCCCAGGCATGACCCGCCGCTCGATTGATCCATCGATGTAACAAACGTCCATAATTTTCTCCTGCACTTCGGTGCCTGTGGCGGCCGGCGCATCTGTCATAATGTGGATCGAGTCGATGGGACCGTCGGTTGCAGAAGCTCTTTCAAATTCCCGACGCTCGCACAACGTAGCCACCACATCCAATCCAGCTCTCGATCGCTCGAGAGTCGAACGGCTCGGGTGGTATTCCTTCCGGATAAACGGCGCCAGCTCGCCGTTGTGTTTCAAGTCGTCGAAAAAACAACGCTGGATGTAGTTGTCGCAAGCGCGACGTGCATCAATAAATTCATGCTGGCTACGTAAGTGCGTTGAGAACCTGACTGCCCTCACTAACTCCATTGGATCGAACATACGCTGCAACTTCAAAGGCTCACGGAAGAGGGCGCTCGGCGGCGCTCTGCGTTTCTGCTGGCTAGGCACCGCAAGCTCCATCCCCTCAGGACGCGCCTCTGCTGCCACCAGCGCCTCTGGTTGCTCAGCGTTCACGTCTTGCCATCAGCGCCTCACTACAGACAGCATGGGGATCCCCCTCATGATGCCTCTGTAACGAGGGCGCCCTCTTCGAAGAAGAATCGAAAACACAAGGGTGCGGCAACCACTCGCTGCAGAAAGGGCGACACCCAATGGTAATACCATGGTCTTTGTAATTTTGTGACGAATGTAGAGCGTGCCGATGCTAACTTTAGCTGGCAAGACCTCTCGATCCCCGTACTGGTTGCGCAAAGACATGCCTGTGACATAACCCGATGCCTCCGTGGAGGCTCCAATCGCGATGGGTCCCTGCAGTAATTGCCGGTCGCAGGCAGTGCACTGCACATACCCCAGGCACTCCAATTTGGACTGGTCGCGAACCTTGCTGCGCAAATCTGTGTGATCACGCTCTGGGTGGATGTCGCGTCGACGAATTGACCACTGCAGGAGAACCACACCAAAAATACAAAATCTTGATCCCACCATCATCTGATCGACAAAGTCGTTCACTTCTGGTTCAACCTTTTATCCCCGACGGCAAGAGAGAGTTTCTTGCCAGCCAGACCCAAATATGACCAGCCAGAACCAGCTCTTGTCGGGCTGGCGTTCGTCTGGGTCGAGGGTACG